AAGGGTTTTTGTATGTCCGGTCTTCAATATCTTAAATCGATGGACTGATTTGAGGGAACGCTGCCAGGAAACATCGAAAACTACTGTTTTTATCATGTTTTATCCTCCAGTTTTTTTAACGGCTTTCCTATGTGTCCCCGCCACTTCAAGCCATACGTCACGTCGGCTCAAGTTTTGGCTCCCCAGGGTTTGCGAGGCGCGCTCCCTTCGGGGAGGTGTCCAGTTGTCGTTTTGTGGCGTTTTGCATAAACATGACCGCGGCTGCTATCATCTCTTGTCACTGAAATCTAGTGTGCATGATTCATGATGTGTTGTTTTTGCAACTTTTCTTATGTTTCATGGCACTTCAATGATCTTCAATGTCAAGCGCTGCGTCCAGGTCATATCCTATCTGTGGGGATGGCAAAAGTGCGCAAGGTCAGGGACCTGGGGGAAGTGGAGGTTGTGCCATTGCTCCTGGGGGAAGTGGAGGTTGTGCCATTGCTCCATGGTGCCCACAGCACCGAAAAGTCATCGCAAAACATTCATCCCTGCCATGGGGACCCGGGGGACCCACAAGAATTTACCATCCCCCAATCATCAACATTCATCAACCCATTCGGATCCATTTGGGGCGAAATTATCATCCCAAGTAGGGGCGTACCCAATTGCTTCAGACCCCCCAAAAATTGGTATCTCTGGCATTTCTTTCCGGATGCTCCCAGGTGTCGTCGACGCCAAAAGGTACCCGAAAGAGTCCAGGAACTCCCAAGGTGCGAACCCTGGAGATGGAAAACCACCTGCAATGGAAAGATATTGAAAACTCCCCATGGATCATAAATCATCTATACAATGTCTATAGCCGGATATAGAATGGTTTATAGACCAGTTCATACATCATCTACAAAAGAAAGGTTTCTTGCTTCATCTTTTTTCCAGGTTTTCCCTTTGGCCCACCGAAGGATCCAAAGCGTACAACCATGTACCCTCTGGTAATTTAACATAGCTATTGAAAATGGCCATTTATAGTGGATTTTCCCATTAAAAATGGTGATTTTCAATAGCTATGTTAAATTACCAGAGGGTACAACCTGTTGCCGAAGTGAACTTTAGCCACCTGCTAGGCTGCCACACCTGCATCAGCCAGAAGGAGTCCAGGAACTCCCAAGGCTCAACCCCAAAATAGCCAGAAAAGGTGGACCCTTCGAAATTCTGAGTTGCCCTCTGGTAAACTAACGTAACTATGGAAAATCACAATTTTTAATTGAAAAACTCACTATAAATGGCCATTTTCAATAGCTATGTTAAATTACCAGAGGGTAAACAGATGTGAAAAAATGGAGATTTTCCATCTTCAATGGTTTTTGTTGGCTCCTAGATTGCTTCAGATTTTCCGGCATCTCGGATCCCTCTTTGGACTGGCAACTTGGATGTGCACCCCGCAAATCGTAAGTGGCTCAGTAAATATGGGTACATGATATATATAATTATATATATATATGTTATATATATATATATGCACATATGATATAATGTATAATATATATATATATAACATATATTAATGATTGATTTTCTGACACCATCCACTTAAGAATGGGAGAATGATGGGATCTGCATCTCTCGATGCAGGCTGCGGCATCTGTGCCTTCGAGCCCGGATGCACCGTCACCAGGGCAGAGGAGCGAAGAATCTCCGGTGCCTTGGCTGTGGCTGTTTTGCGAAACCCTAGCCATCCTCTTAGAGATCTTGGAAGATCTTGGAAGATCTTGGAAGATCTTGGAACAAGAAGATTCTAAGATAGTTCCTGGATGTCTTAATTTGTCTTAAAATTTGCAAAAAAGTTTCATTTAGTGGACTAATCTGTAGTCCACTTCCTTTTCGATGGGTTTCCAACCCCCAGTGTTGGTTTCCAACTCCAAAGTGGCTCAGGTTGGGATGACCGACACCTTGTCCGACCCCGCTCCTTGTCTGACGGGGGGCCTTTTTTTGTCTGCACTCCCAAGGAGTCCATTGCCCCATGTCGCAACATGAAACGACTAATCGTTCTGGATGACTTGTGGTGTATACGGCAGATATATTTCTATACTAATATATAGCGCATATATATATATAACCATACATACATATATACATATATACATACATACATATATATATATAACCATATAACGCCTAAATGCACATGAATATCCAATCATGGACTGTTGTTTATATAATGGTGGATCCATTACCCCACCATAAAATGCGAAAACTCTACACCCAGTAGAGAGCAGGTACGGCAAAATTTCTCAAGAATCCTTCAACCTTCTTTCCTCAGATAGAAGCTCTTCAAAAAAAAATGCCGCACTTTTCTCTGCCTTTAATAACAGTCTGTCGCTGAAATTCGAATGGCGTCAAACGTCGAGGCGAGAGCACCAGTCACAGACAGTCACAGATTGCTTACAGATGTCTCTGTTGCAGCTCGAGCTTGAGCCAACAATTTGGCATGCAGCCCACTTCTTCAGTTCACTTATGTGCC